AGAGAGGGAGACACAGAATCCTAAGCAGGCTCCAGCCTCTGAGCTGTCAGTACGGAGTCTGACACAGGCTCGAATTCACAAACTGAGATCATGACCTGAGCTGAAGTTGGACGCTTAACCGAAGCCACCCAGGACACCCTAGGCATTTATATATTTAAAAGTGGTACAGGTGCTTCTAGTAAACAGCCAGCATTTAACAAGAACATTAGATATTTGGAGGATTTCAACAAGTGTAACAGAAACTTTAGTGATGGTGTTGTTATGAGAACTGGTGAGAAACTGACTCTGATTTCAGTAAGTTAGGGATGACAGTATTATATATGTGCACGTGGATGCCTTTGAAAAGAAGTTATTTGGGGCGCCTGGGTGGCTCAGTTGGTTGAGCGGCCGACTTCGGCTCAGGTCACAATCTCGCAGTCCGTGAGTTCAAGCCCCGCGTCGGGCTCTGTGCTGACAGCTCGGAGCCTGGAGCCTGTTTCGGATTCTGTGTCTCCCTCTCTCTGACCCTACCCCGTTCATGCTCTGTCTCTCTCTGCCTCAAAAATAAATAAACATTAAAAAAAAATTTTTTTTTTGAAAAGAAGTTATTTAACATACACTAAGACTTTTTTGTCTGTGCCAAGCACTTTGCTTAATGCTGAAGATACAAAAGTGAGTATAGCATGGTCCTTACACTTAAGGAGACTTTACCTGGGGAGACCTGACATCTTAATTTGTCTTAGAAATTGTTATAAATGCTCTGACAGTGCTAGTGAGAGTGTCAAAGGCAGGATTGGTCAGTTTTCGGGCAGGGCAACAAGAGCTTTCCTAGGAGGTTCTGGACTTGAGACTTGAGTGATAAAATCAGTTGTCATGTTAAGATGGTAGGTGGGGGATACTGCAAATAGTTCGAATAAAGCCAGGTGTGTGGGATACCTCTTCAAGCAGCTAAAATGACAGGGGCATGGAGACCAGGCTGAGGTCAGGTAGGCAAGAGCCATTCTTGGATGAATTTGCGTATCATTTAAGGAATTTGAACTTTATTGTGTAGATAGTGGAGAACTCTTGAAGGGTATATATATAGAAGAGTAGTTATATTGTCAGATAGAAACCTCACTCTGGCTGCAGTGTGAAGGAGGGACTGAAAAAGTTAAAACCTGAAGCAGCAAGGCCATTGGACAAGACTATTGCAGTAGTCCAGGAATGAAGGGGCACATTAAGGCAATACTACACAAGACTTTAACACTTGGGTATTTTAAAACGAAATTTCCTTGTTGTAGAAGTGTTTCTTTGTTTACTCGCTGAAGACCCAATTTTCAGATAATGTAGAATATATTTATACAGTTAGTTTAGATACAAGGATCATTTTTTTTTTAATATTTTTTTTTAATTTTTTTTTAACATTTATTTATTTTCGAGACAGAGAGAGACAAAGCATGAATGGGGGGGGGCGGTCAGGGAGAGGGAGACACAGAATCTGAAACAGGCTCCAGGCTCTGAGCTGTCAGCACAGAGCCCAACTCGGGGCTCGAACTCACCGACCGCGAGATCACGACCTGAGCCGAAGTCGGCCGCTTAACCGGCTGAGCCACCCAGGCGCCCCACAAGGATCATTTTAGTGAAGTGACACAGCTCTTTCAAAGAGTGGAAAATATTGTTGTAGTGACTTTTTTTTTTCAGGTTGAACAGTACTGTAATTATGTGAAAGGATATAAAAAGTTCACGTATGAAGGGAATGTCTCATAATCCAAGCTTAAAATTTATATATAGACAATGTAATAAACAACGTAAGAGACTGTATTAAAGAGATATAATAAAATAGGATGCCTAGTTTATGCCAAACTATTTCTCTAGACCAGTACTGTCTAGCAGAAATACAATGTGAGCAACAAATGTGACTTTTTCTAGTAGCCACATTAAAAGATAAAAAAATCCAAACAGGTGGAAATAATTTTAATATTTTATTTAACTTGGTATATCCAAAATAGCATTGCAAAATGTAATATAAAATTGGGATATTTAATGCTTATTATCTATAGACACAATATATTTAGTATTCTTTTTCATACCAAGTATCCAAAATCCAGTGCATATTTTATACTTTTAGCACATTTTACTTCAGACCAACCACATTTCAAGTACTCCAGTAGCCACATTGGGCTACTGGCTACTGCACTGGACAATGAAGCTCAAGAGAATTTCTTCAATTCCATTCTAAAGATAATATGGAAACATTTCAGCACCACTTTCAAGGATGCATTCACAATTATTCTTTTTAGAAAGGCGTTAAATCACTTGAGGTTTTACCTTAAAACCTGAATACATTAATTAGTCATAGTGAATTTAAAAAAAAGTTTATTTTTGAGAGAGAGCAAGTGCATGAGTGGGGGAGGGATGGAAAGAGGGGGGACAGAGGATCTGAAGCAGCCTCTGCACTGATAGCAGCAAGCCCGATGTAGGGCTTGAACTCACAAACCATGAGATCATGACTTGAGCTGAAGTTGGGTGCTTAACCGAGCCACCCAGGGGCCCCTAGACAAACTGAATTTTTATAATATAGTATCAGTACCCAGAAAGTGGGAGTGAGAAGTAAATCTGATCTTTCTCCATGACTATTACTTTTTACTGTTTTAAGATGTGAAATAATCCCAAACTTCACTTAAATTTTGAAGTGGAACCCACAAGAGGATCTTCTCTGGGAACAATATATAAGAAGCTTTCTGAATTTAAAAGGTCTGTGATGACTTATGGTTGGAAAAGGGGAATCAAGGAAGCACAGGAAATTATTAGTATTATAGATCAAGAATAGGTGGATGTATAAGCTAAATCATCTTTGTAGCACTGTTCAGTTTTTTGAGCTGACATAGTTAAGAAACTTACTCTAGGGGCGCCTGGGTGGCGCAGTCGGTTAAGCGTCCGACTTCAGCCAGGTCACGATCTCGCGGTCCGGGAGTTCGAGCCCCGCGTCGGGCTCTGGGCTGATGGCTCAGAGCCTGGAGCCTGTTTCCGATTCTGTGTCTCCCTCTCTCTCTGCCCCTCCCCCGTTCATGCTCTGTCTCTCTCTGTCCCAAAAAAATAAATAAACGTTAAGAAACTTACTCTATATATTGCAAGCCCCACTTAGGGGTGTTAGAGTGTTTGAACAACTTAGAACTTCCAGTAATCTTACAGGAGGAAATGGAAGGCTGTATTTAAATAGGCAGTCATTAGAAAACTCAAGTTTTCAATACAGACTTCTGTAAATTCACATTCAAGTACAGGTCTCATATCTAGTGTAAGACTTTCAAGTTTTCATAAAAAGAAAATTAAGGTGAGAGCTGTAAAATGTACGTATTTCTATCTCAACAGTCAGACGCTAGCACAAACCAGGTGCTAAATTGATGAAACCATAGCTAGAGTTTGGCAGATAAAAGGAATGAGGGACTGAGTTTTTGCAAAGGAGTGATTGTGGAATCCAAGCCTGGTAAGAAGGGAAGTCATAGGCAAAGTGAGATTGAAATGAAAAAACTAGTGGGGTCAAAGGATTGAAGCGTAATGGGGTTGAAGAATGGTAGAGCTATAAAACTAAGGATAGGAGGTAGAAAGTAGGAGATGCTTTAAATCAAGACTTCAGAAATGTGTAGTATTTGGTGAATACAAGGTCTAAGTCTCATGACGGGAGCAGGTGGCTGAGATGGAGAATAGGCTCAATGCAAGTGAGGAAGTTAAGGAAGTAAATGGACATGGTATTGAAAGTTAAGCCTTTAAGATGTTTTAAGTACTGGTAGGGGGTAAGTGAGCAAGGTGCTATATAATCTTAAGTGAGAAAGAGTTAGTAACCTGGAAGTGGGTTGGATCATATTGTGTCTGTAGTTCTCAACTGTGGCTAATTTGCACCATAGGGGACATATGGAGATGTCTGGAGACATTTTTGGTTGTCACAACTGGGGTGTGTGTTTATGTGTCTGGATGTGTGTATACCTTCACTACCTTATGAAGAGAGGCCAGGGATGCTTCTAAACATCCTACAATGCACTTAACAGCCTCTCACAACAAAGATTTCTCTGGTTCCAAATGTGAAAACAGTGCTAAGGTTGAGAAACTCTGCTTTAGGGGGAGGCACCAGAATCAAGGTATGTTGGTTGAAAAAACAGGCTGAGAACTATCAATCTAGTAAATATTTCTACTTTAACTGAATACTTTAAGGAAAAAAGACATACACATTAAAAATATCCATCCATCCATTCATTCACTAAAAGACATATGCTGCATTCTCACCTAATGGGCATCACTTTTATAGGTGTTTTAGAGTCATCAGTGAACATAAAGATCCCTGTGTCCTTAGTTACTTCTTGTTTAAGCAGGGGAGACAGGGGACAAGAGACATAATAAATTAATCTGTTAGAAAATGGTGTTAAAAAAGTGATTAAGGATATTGGGAGTGCTGGGGTATAGGAGGGCAAAAGGTGGGCTGCAGTCATCTCACTGAGGTGACATCTGGAGAAGGATTTAAGAGATGTGAGAATATAATAAATGTATGTTGCCCTGAAAATACAGTTTTGGTTTGCATTCAGTTTACAGGAAAGGGGAGTAAAGTAGGTATGTGTTAAGTGCTTTGACGGATACCAAGTTAGACCAGCCATGGTTTCTGCCCTCAGAGAGCTTTGTGATGAGCTACTATCATGGAAATGATAGAAAAATGAAGACAGCAAATAACAAGACAGTAATTTTGCCCTATTCTATCTGCTCCTGTTTTGATCCTTTTTCATGGTAGGGAGATAACAGGTTAACGTTTAGCTGTTATTTTCCACTCATGCTGCACATTTGCTCCTTCTCAGAAAACCAGGCCAGGAACCTGGATTAAACAGTGATATGAACGAAGTGGGTTTGGAGTACAGGACTGAGAGCACTGGGATCAGAGAAATGCAAAAAGTAAACTTACAGAAAGGGATAAGGAATAGGAGGAAAGGCCTACAGTATGTTAACCTTCCTTGCTGACAGTTTAACAATCTCTAGCCTCTTACTAGCTCTCTGCCTCCCAGGTATGGTAACAGTACAAGGAGCTATGCTGTTCGGGTTGGGGATTATCATACTCTGGTGCCAGAAGAGTTTGAAGAAGAAATTGGAGTTCAGCAGATTGTGATTCATCGGGAGTATCGACCTAACAGCAGTGACTACGACATCGCCCTGGTTAGATTAGAAGGACCAGAAGAGCAGTGTGTCAGATTTAGCAGCCATGTTTTGCCAGCCTGTTTGCCACTCCGGAGAGAGAGGCCACAGAAAACCGCCTCCAATTGTTACATAACAGGATGGGGAGACACGGGTAATGTAGATAATACAAATGACATCTGGGCACCTTTCTTGTGTCTGGGATTATCAGTACTTTTGGGTGTACAATGGGTAGTAAAATCTTAAATGGGTTCAGGCTTAGTAGTTTGGAAATTCTGCCAAGCCTGTGATGCATGCATGCAATTTGGATTTGTATCCCAAGGGTACTATTGGTTATCATTCAGTTTAGTACAAATTGACAGAACTCAATCACCTTAAGGGCTGGTAGAGAAACCTTCCTTACTTTCAGTTGCCCAGACTAGTAAAGAGACAGAAGAAATGATTTTAAGATCCTACTTGAACACTTGGGCCTGGCCGGCTGAATGACAACTTCCCGTATCATTTTGCTACAGAATTTTATCAGTGTGTATCAGCTAGTGCTTGTTCAGAATGGTCCTTGAAACAACAGATGTGGGGCTCACCTGGATTGGGTACTTGATTCCCAAATGGCTACTGAATAAGGAGAAAGGACAGGTTGACCCCTCTCCACTAAATATGATCAATACTGCTAATTATACTCTTGAAAAGAGCATCAAGTATGTCTGTCTACAGGTGATAATTTCAGTGTTTTATTTACAGAGTATTTGTGTTCATCACACACTGCATTAAATCTGGGCTTTATATTTGTATTTCATAGCTGAAAAAAGGTAGAATAGCTGTTGCAGATATAGAATACTGAAGAAGCACATACTGACCACTCCTTAGATAAACCACAAAGAAAACATTTGCTGAATGAAACAATAAAATGAGATCAGAGTAAATGGCTTTTCCGCACGCTATGTGCACGCTATGTGGAACCATAAGGCAAATCAAGTGTCTGAGAATACTTAAGTGTATCCATTCTCAATTACTGCAAGAGGGAAGGTTCATTCACCTTCCTTTAGATACAAGTTAACAGAAATGATAAATGTCAGTTTTACAGAATGTTCTATTATGAATTATTTCAATTGAGTACATAGGATGCAAGAAAAAAAGGTGGAATTTAGACCCAAGAAAGGACTATTGTAGAGGACATCATCAATTATACATATTAGCCACTGAACAGTTAATGTCTTGCCAGTGAGTACACCAACATCAAATGGTTAGTATACAGGAATGTTTTGCTTCTCAATCTTTTATCAGATGCCATATTTGGAGTTCTTGCCACTCAGGTCCTTCTATAGCATTTATAGTTACCACTCACTTAAACTACACTATGCCACAATAGGGTTTTATTTTCAATTAAATGTTCATTGGACTGTTAAATGTAGTGTTTTTGTGTAAGATCTTTGGCTGGCATCTAACTCAGATTATTTGGTCTGACTAGGACGAGCCTATTCAAGAACTCTACAACAAGCAGCCATCCCCTTACTTCCCAAGAGGTTTTGTGAAGAACGTTACAAGGGTCGGTTTACAGGAAGGATGCTTTGCGCTGGAAATCTACATGAACACAAACGTGTTGACAGCTGCCAGGGAGACAGCGGAGGACCACTCATGTGTGTTCGGTCAGGAGAGAGTTGGGTTGTGTATGGGGTGACCTCCTGGGGGTATGGCTGTGGAGTCAAGGATTCACCTGGTGTCTATACCAAAGTCTCAGCCTTTGTACCTTGGATAAAAAGTGTCACCAAATTGTAATTCTTCACGTGGAAGCTTCAAGAGAAAATACTGGAAAATGTTCAACATCCACATTAGCACTCAGCCAGAGATGCCAGCCAACGGAGATGAGAGCCATGTTCCTTCTTTTGTGTTGTGATTAAATCATGTGCACCATTGCTGCTTGAGAATTTGTGATGTGAATATTGTTAGATACCTCAGTGTAGTACTAATTACCCTTAACTAGCATTGTGGCCCACCCAAAAACTACTCTGGAGTCTTTATTAGCATTCTCCAGAGATTACTGTGTATCAAGAGTGCAGTAAGGCTGTTTTTACATTCATTTGGATTTAGAGCTTATAACTCAATCAATACTGTTTATACTAGAGTCAAGGAGTGGCATTTAATTAAGCTCAGATTTTCTTCAAAAGGCTAAGACATCTTCACACATTGAATCTCTGTAGCCTTTAACAACTGAGGAAATCAACGGCCAAAAAAGTGAAGGAATTCCATTATAAACCTAGACTAGGATCAAATTTGGAAGAATTCCTGATGAATGTCTTCAAGTTGTTGGATGTACAACCTAATGTATCCACCTTATTAACATCCTCTAGCAATTACTTTCAGCTACTTCAAATTTACAACTTGATAAAATTTTTCCTTGGCATTATGTGGTTTGCTGGACCATGATTTAAGAGTGCCATCTATTGCAACTTTCTTGTAATGACTAAAATCTGTAGACTTCCACTATCCTGATAGTCCCAGCTAATAAAAATACTGTTAAAAATGCTTTCTCTGCTTAGTGAGAAAAAGCTCTAAAAGAATTTAACTGTTTCAACCGCTTTAATTAACGCACCAGCTATATGCTAGGCACTGCTTTAAGTGGCTATGGCCTTCAATGACCGTTTTAAAAAGGCTGGTAATGTTTTATAGTATCCCTAGCTTTCAAACAGGCCCAGAGGCCAAGGTGAGACCATAGGATCCAAACTTCTGGAGCCCCAGTGCTGATCAGGTCATTTTCAGCCTCCACTGCTGAGTAAAGGCAAGTTTTCCCTCTGGCTATTTCTCAACACAATTAAGGGACAATTAAGGGTGCTTTACTATACACCCTTTCAGGACATTCTTGATTAGCAATGCAAAATCTTAGGCCAAACAAAAAAGGCTTGCCTCTCAGGCTACTTAATTAATCACAATGATTGCTAATATCAAGGGCCCTTCAGTGTTTTAAAGTTTTTGTAGATCCATCCAAGAAATAGATGCATAAAAACAGGTGAAAAAAATCAGTGTGAACTTTAGGATTAGATCATGTTATGTAATCCTTTTCAATGGCTGTATTAATATGGAGGGGACTTCACCTCTTTCCCCACTGCATCTACTTGTACCCTTTTTGTAAATCCTCAGCTTTGTAAAAAACTGGTGCTAACGTAAAGGTGCTTTATAGTTTACGATTTTGCAGGACTGCAATGCTATGTCAGGCAGAATAACGTTAAACCTTTTGTAAAAGCTCAAGGTTTTGATAAAGGCAGAACTTTTCAAGCATTTACAACTAGTGATGATAGCGGTACAGACAGTGCACACTTGCACAAGGGCTGAGAAAACGTGCAATACAGGAGAGAAAATTTATCTTTACGGAAACTTCGCACAGGCCACCTTTATAACGAAAGTATAGTGCTGATGCAAGCAACATTTATACTGAAATTTTAATAGACTGGATCGGGAAACTACTTGGCTCATAAAATATGCCTTGATAATAGCTAATTTTTTTTTCTTGTTAAATGTTAAGTGTGACCTTTAAAAGACACAAGTGTTCAGTGCACATCTGTGTGAATAAAGTGCTTAGCTGCTCACCTTGTGTAGTAGCCTTAATCTTTTGTACGGTATAAAAATGACTGTTGTCCCTTAGGGGTAAGGTGGCTTCACGTGTAGTTCCCACCCAAATACTGTAGTGACTTAGAACACGACTTTTTCCAGATGAAATCAAGCATTTTATTTAATTATAGCAAGCAAGCACTCACTTATTCTCTACTAAATGTCATACTTACGCCGAAGTAATATTCTGGCCTATATGGAGACCACCAACTTGATAGCTTACAGATTATTCACCACTCAATATGCAACATGTTGCGATTAAAAAAAATCACGTTTGGCAGTGCACCACAAGATTCTAAATAAACAGGACTTCACCCATACATTTTGAATTTCTTGATTATCTGCAAGAGAAGAAAACCAGTTTTGTAAACTCTGTGTCCTAAGTCACAGTGCTGAAATCTTAGCAACTTCAGTTACTTTCTATTTAGTTGGCTATTTATTACTCTTTCAAATTACAAAGTAGCAGCAAATCGGGCCAATTCTGGCCTTCCCATTACTTAGCACTAAGGATTCTGGATTAACGACGAAATAGGAATAAAAAGGAACATACCTTGTCATGTTTCCTGTCATCCATTGGAACGATTAGTTCAGCTTCCTAAAAACATTTAAGCAATAGTTAGATATGTGCCCAATAACCCGGCACCCTTCAGGTTTTCAAGTGATTAATGTTACTTGTGCAAGTCAGAATCTGATACCAATTAAATGGTGACAGCTTTGCCAATAAACAAGAATATGCTCTTCCATGGCTAGGAAGGGAGACTGCCACAGCTGACAGGTCCCAAAGATACATGGAGATTCACAATCCCAGAACTCCCAAGCAAGCACAACTACAGAGATTACTCACTTTCTGGATCTAAATGTGGCGGGTATCAGGATTCGATGTCACTATTTATTTAACAGTGGCGGAGTAGCTTCAAGATGGCCACTTGACACCGACAGCGGAATTCGGGACCTTTGCCGGTCATCAGGTGCACCGATCCTTTGTCGGAGGGCCCGTGACCCGTGCGCGCTCGACTTCTGACTCAGCGCCAGGGTTGCACGTGGCCGCCGCGTGATCAAAAGAATACCTCAGGTTTTCGAACCTAGAGGTTTCCAAAGCTGTCGTAGACCGATCACTACAAGATCCCTGAACCTCCTGCATCTTAACTAGGCCAAAAACTTCTGCCTCAATTATCACCATAGTGCACAAAATACAACGTACCTCAACCTCGTAACCTAAGCCCGGCGCTTCCCGGATGTAAAAGGCCGAGCATTTCAGCGCACGCTTTCTTATAGAGCGGCTGACGCTATTCCGGGGAAGTGCCGCGAAGGGCGGGGCCCACACGAGTTTTCCCTCCGCTCTGCCCTTTCCAGCCCCTCCTCCGTTCCACCCCTTCCTGATGGCCCCTCCCTCCTTACACGGTTTGCTCCACCCTCTGGGCTGGGCGGCTCCCCGGGCCCTCAATTCTGACGCACGCGCCTACAGGGAGAGTCAGAAAGTTGTCGCGAGATGAGGAAATCCTGACGCTGGCTTTGTCTTCCTGACCCGGGAGGTGAAAAATTTTGTTTCCCGTTTCCATAAAGGATAGTTACTTAGAAGTTGCCATTGTTACCGAAACGCCAGGTTATATAGTCCTCTGCTTTTAAACCTTTAGGTAAATATACATGGAACTGATTTTTTTGGTCCATTAATGATCTGGGACTTACGTTTTCCGCTGGAGTTGCTGTTCCTCAAGCGTAGTTGTCAGTGATTTGCGGTTTTTAAATTTTGTTTTGTTTTGGGTTTCTTTTGGCGGGGTCGGGGCCGGAGGGGGGGTTTAATCTCTTAAGAGTATTTACACTCATTACTGAAAACCTAGCCAAAAGACTAAACACAAGACTAAAAAAAAGTAAAGGACGTTAGCCGGAAGAGTATGGGAGACCCACTTAACGAGTATGTCTGAACATTTCCCGTGTTGCACACTCACCCAGTTTGCTGTACGTGTTTGGCCGCAGCTGGATTTCGTTGACTCTTGAAAGCAGATGTCTGCCTCTTACCTCCCTGCTGTACCTTTTGTTGAGGGTGCAATTATAGAAATAATAGAACTAACCCTTGTAAAGTGAATTAAAAATATTTAGGAATACATTTAGTTCTAGTCAAGTGCTGATTAAATGCCATTAAATTTATATTCTGTTTCCCCTCTGATATGAAACAAAAGGGAGGTTTTACTTAGTAGTGGACCATTGGGAAGGTATGTTGTGGCAATTGCTGCCAGGAAAAACGGTATCAAAATGTATTCCCCAGACTAAGTTGGGGAATAAGGTGCCACAGTAGGGATCTACAGAAGCTTCATGAAATCCTTACATACTATTCTGGGAGAAATAGTTTAATCAGTAAGAGCAAACATTGCTATTATGATTAGGGTTGGAGTGACCAATTTATAGGAAATGACCATCCATTTATGGTAAGCTATAAAGACACACTGAAGATTTTTAAATATATATTTCCATTGGGCTAAAGTGTAAAAACACCTGAGACAGAGTGAAGAGTCTCTGCTCCCATATTTTAGGTTCTTTTCTCCATCTCAAATTTTTTCCCATCTGTTTCCCATCTTTTTCTTCCTTTCTTTAAAACTGAGGTATAATTAACATTAGCTTCAGGTATACAACATAATGATTTGATATTTGTGTATGTTGCTAAATGATCACCACATTAAGTCTAATTAACCCCTATCCCTCATACATAGTGAATTAAGTTGTTTCTTGTGCTGAAGATTTTTAAGATTTACTGTCTTAGGGGAGCCTGGCTGGCTCATTTGGTGAAATGTGGGACTCTTGATCTCAGGGTTTTAAGTTCAAGCCCCATGTTGGTATAGAGATTACTTCAAAATATTAAAAGAAAAAAATATGTAGCAACTTTAAAATATGTAAAAGTATTATTGACTGTACTCACCATGCTGTACATTACATTCTCTTGACTTATTTATTTTATAACTAGTATTTTGTGTCTTTTGCCCCATTTTAGCTACCCCTTCAACCCACTGCCTCTGGCAAGCACCAATCTGTTTTCTGTATCAATTAACTTGGTGTTTTTTGTTTTTGTTTTTATATTCCATATATAAGTGAGATCATATAGTATTTGTCTTTTTCTGACTCATTTCACTTAACGTAATGTCTTCAGGGTCCATCCATTATGTCACAAATGGCAAGATGTCATTTGTTTTCATGGATGAGTAGTATTCAATTGTGTATGTACATCGACATCTTTATCCATTCATCCATTGATGAATACTTAAGTTGTTTCCATATCTTGGCTGAAAATAATGCTGTAATGAACATGGGGGTACTTACATCTTTTTGAATTAGTGTTTTTGTTTTCTTCAGATAAATACCCAGAAGTAGAACTGCCAGATCATATGGTAATTCAATTTTTAGTTTTTTGACCAACCTCCATACTGTTTTCTACAGCAGATAGACCAGTTTACATTCTCATTAACAGTGCACAAGGGTTTTCTCTCATTAACAGTGCAAAAGGGTTTTCTTTTCTCCACATCCTTGCCAACACTTGTTATTTCTTATTTATTTGATACTAGACATTCTGACTGGCATGAGATGATATCTCATTGTGATTTTGATTAGCATTTCTCTGATGATTAGTGATGTTGAGGATCTTTTCATGTGTCTGTTGGCCATCTGTATGTCTTCATTGGAAAAATGTCTATTCACATACTCTGTCCATTTTTTAAATTGGGTTGTTTAGTGTTTTGTTGTTGAGTTGTATGAGTTCTTTATGTATTTTGGATATTGACCCATTATTAGAACATGATTTACAGGGGCGCCTGGGTGGCGCAGTCGGTTAAGCGTCCGACTTCAGCCAGGTCACGATCTCGCAGTCCGTGAGTTCGAGCCCCGCATCAGGCTCTGGGCTGATGGCTCAGAGCCTGGAGCCTGTTTCCGATTCTGTGTCTCCCTCTCTCTCTGCCCCTACCCCGTTCATGCTCTGTCTCTCTCTGTCCCAAAAATAAATAAAAACGTTGAAAAAAAAATTAAAAAAAAAAAAAGAACATGATTTACAAATATTTTTCTCCTGTTCAGTAGTTTGACTTTCATTTTGTTGAAAATTTCCTTTGCTGTGAAGAAGCTTTTTAGTTTGATGTAGTTTGAGTTCATTTTTTGTGTATGGTGTAAGATAGTAGTCCAGTGTCATTCTTTTGCATGTGGCTGTCCAGTTTTCCCAGCACCATTTCTTGAAGAGTCTGTCCTCTCCCCATTGTATATTCTTGGCTCCTTTGTTGTAAATTAATTGACCATATATGCATGGGTTTATTTCTGGGCTCACTATTCTGTACCATTGATCATTGTGTCTGTTTTTATGCCAGTATCAAACTGTTTTAAGTATCATGCAATATCATAACTTTGTGGGGCACCTGGGTGGCTCAGTCGGTTAGGCATCCGATTTTTGATTTCAGCTCAAGTCATGATCTCAAGTTCATGAGATTGAGCCCCACGTTGGGGCTTGGGATTCTCTTTCTCTCTCTCTCTGCCCTTCCCCTGCTTGCTAGCTCTCTTTCTCTCTCTCTCAAATAAACTCTAAAAACATAATTACTATTGCTTCATAATATAGTTATCAACCAGGAAGCATGATAGCTCCAGCTTTGTTTTTCTTTCTCTCGTTTTTTTTTAAAGTCTATTTATTTATTTTGAGAGTGAGTATGGGAGAGGTAGGAGGAGAGGGAGAGAGAGAGAGAATCCTAAGCAGACTACTCACTGTCAGCCCAGAGCCTGATCCACAAACTGAGATAATGACCTGAGTTGGACATGTAAGTGACTGAGCCACCTTGGTGCCCCTACGTTCTTCTGTCTCAAGATTGCTTTGGCTGTTTGGGGTCTTTTGTCGTTTCATACAAATTTTAGTATTGTTTGCTTTATTTCTGTGAAAAATGCCATTGGAATTTGACAGGGGTTGTTTTGAATCTGTAGATTGCTTTGCATAGTATGGACATTTAAACAATATTCTTCCAGGTGATGAGCACAGAATATTTGTCCACTGTTTATATAATGAAAAAATATTAATCTTCAATTTCTTTCATCATTGTTTTATACTTTTCAGTATACGAGTTTTTCACCTTCCTCATTAAAATTTGTTTCTAAGTATTTTTTTATTCCAATTGTAAATGGAATTGTTTTCTTAATTTCTCTTTCTGATAGTTCATTATTAATGAATAGAAGTGCATTAGAGTTCATATAGTGGTTTTGTATCCTGCTACTTTACTGAAATTCATTCATTCTAACAGTTTTTGGTGGAGTCACTTGGTTTTCTATATGTAATATCGTGTCATATGCAAATAGTGACAGTTTTACTTTTTCCTTTCCAGTTTGGATGCCTTTTATTTCTTTTTCTTACCTAATTGCTTTGGCTAACACTTCCAGTACTGTGTTGAATAAACGTGGTAAGAGCATCCTTTCTTGTTCCTGATCTTAGAGGAAGAGCTTTTACCTTTTTACCATTGAATATGATATTAGCTGTGGGTCTGTCATGTATGACCTTTACTATGTTGAAGTATGTTCCTTCTATACCTACTTCCCACTTTGTTCAGTTTGTAATCATAAATGAATGTTGAATTTGCATAAATCTTCATGTGTCAGAATACTACTCAGCTTTGAATGCTTTGCTTGAACGTCACTTGTTATGTGAAATTTTTCATAACTCTAACTGAATTTGATTTCCCTTTTTGACATACTATAGTACTTGGATTTTTCATGTGGTATCTTTATTATATTATAAACTTCTTGTGAAGGGACTGCGTCACCTCTCATTTGAAGTGCCTATCAGAGTGACTCATATTAAACACTCAGTTGGATTATTGAATGCTTTGAGGCAGTTAATATATATTTTATAGGAATTGAGAAAGTTTTGTATTTATCTTAAAAAGTGATTTTTCTCCAGGAGGTAGAGTTTGATCCCCCCACTCTTCCCCAACACCAAGATGAGTATTGGCTGTACTTAGTGACTTGCTTTCAAAGGGTGGGTAAGGAAAGAAGGGGAAAGTATAACTGTACAGTGGAGAAATATAGCAAACACTGCCCGGACGAAGTGATCAATAGTAACGTGAGCAAGAAGTCATATTGATAATGTGTACCTTGATAAGATGTAATGAAAACATTTCACCTCCTTTGTGTTATTCTTTTCCAAAGCCCTAACCCTAGTCAAACCATGAGAAGAAATATCAGACAAAATCAAGTTGATGGACAATCTACAAATTATATATCCGTATTTAATATTGTCATGATCTTGAATAACAAGAAAAGTCTGTGAAACTGTCATACCAGAGGAGATGATACATGATGACTAAATGTGATACCCTGTCTGGGAACCTCAAGTAGAGAAAGGACATTAATGTCAAACTAGTGAAATCTGAATAAAGTGTGAAATTTAGTTAATAGTAATGTGCCAATATTGGTTTCTTAGTTGTGACAGATGTATATGGTATTGTAAGATATTAACAATCGGAGAAATTGGATGGGGGATATGTGGGAACTCCCTGTACTATTTTTTCAACTTTTCTGTAAACCTAAAACTATTTTAAAATAAAGCTTAATAAAAAAGCAGTCATAAGTTTATAGTCTATTATTTTTGGTTTAAGACAAGTTGTGCTTTAGTGATGGTTTGTGTATATTCTTAGTGTGAAATTTGTGGCTGAGATGGCGATATTTCTAAATTTGTGGGAATTTGAGATCAAACCTAATTAATTTAGCGGCTGTTCAAGCCAAATCTTTGAGACTTAGAATACTAGGTAGAGATTATGTGGTAATAGATAGAATTAAAATTTTATTGTAAATAAAGGTTGGTTTAAGGATTTTAAAGGTAGAATGCAAAGTGAAGTTGTTAGGACTGATAAAATGATGGCTGGACAATACTTAATTCTGCATTTGATATATTAACTGGAACAGTTCATTATAGAATATTCATTCTTCAACTATGCTACTTCTCCCTACTCTATTTCCTTTTTCCTTTTGTGGTTTTAATGTAGAAACTACAGTGATCATCAGAGAAGAAAATTAATACAACAGCACAGCTCTCATGAATATTGAAATAAGTGGGAGAAAATATCAGGAAATGGCCTGTGGGCTTATTTACATTTTAAGATACTTAGGGTACCTAAACTTGCAGTTGGTATGTACTAGCAGCGTGATAGTGCTGGTAAGAAAATTATAATACAACTATACTGTCTAGAAGAGAGCAGATGAGAATTCTCCCTTATCTCTGCTGGAATATTCTTTTTGGTTCTGAACACTTTGCTCAGTTGTTAAACATTTACAAGACTCTGTCCAATGTTTATTGAGTATATATGACCCTTGCCTCAAAACTCCAATGGAATTGAATAACTTACAATCAATGATGTCACACTTTTTCCAGACTATTCAAAGCTCAAAGCCTAGGAGTCAGCTTTGATTTCTCCCTATCCTCCATTTTCAATTTTTAGTGTATTTCTGTATTAGTCAATGTACTTTTTATCTATTGTTATGTTTCAAATTAGCCTAAGCATAGTGGATTAAAACAATAAGCATTTATTATCTCACATAATTTCTGTGAATCAGGAGTCCAAGTACAGCCTAACTGTCTCAGTGTATCTCACTCATGAGGTTGTAATCAGGATATAGACTGAGACTGCAGGATCCTCTTCCAAGGTTGCTCAGTTAATAAGCTTAGCAAGTTAAGGCTAATTGTTGGTAGGAGGCCTCAATTCTCCAGCATGTGGATCTCCACTGGGCTGCTGGAGTGTCCTCATGAGATGGCAGCTGGCTTCTCCCAAAGTAAGTGATCAGTAGAGGAAGTACCAGTGATGTTATGACCTAGTCTGAGAAGTTACTCGCTATCACTTGTTAGAAGCAAGTTATTAATTCCAGCTCACACAAAAAGGGAGAGAAATTAAACTCTATCTCTTGAGAGAATATAAAAATTTGTTGACTCAAGTTCAAGCTGCCGCAGTAAGAATGGGTGAGGTTGTGTTGGTGTTACAAACAGTCCAAAATCTTTGTTGCTTAAAACAACAAGTGTTTGTTTCTTGTCATATTCTTTTCCATTTTAGTGACTTAGACTAATGAGGCCTTAACCATTTGTGATGTTTCTAGGCAACAGGAAGGGAGATGAGAAGGTAGAGAATCACATACTTGTTTTTAAAGGCTTCCATTCTGAAGTGACAGTCCTCACAATTGCTTCATATCCCATGGACAAAAGCAAGTTGCATGGCTATACCAAACTTCAAAAGGGTGGGGATATGGAACCCTACTATGTGCTTCTAAGGATAAGAATCAGAAATATCAGTAAACAGCATTAGTGATTTCTGCAGTTGCCGTGTTATAACCTTTTTGACAATTATTTTTAGATCAACTTTTCCTTTCCTTTTCTCTATTGTCATACTACTAATCTAGGACAACATGTCTGAATTGGCTCCCTACTTTTCTAATTTCCCATTTCCACTCAACAGGATATTTTTGAAATATTAAATTTCCTGAAATACTATTTTCTCCTTGTTTATCACTTGCTACAGAAACTGTAATGGCTTCTCCACTGATTATCATCAGGTCAAGTTTCTAATCTCTGGACATATTACAATGTATGGTACACTTACCATGCTCATTCCTAGTTTCATTCATTCTATTTCATAGCATAGACTGTATTTCCCATTTTTTCTACCCATTCATTAAGACACATCTCAGTTCTTAATTATTTTTTACATGAATCTTTATCCAAAATATTAGTGAATATTGGTCTCTTCCCTTTCTTGCCTTTGTTTTTAAAAATTGTTCATCAGTAAATATTTAATGTGCCTACTATATGGTTTTCTACTATACACTGGGCCCTGTTCTTAGTGCTGAGGCAAGAGCAGTAAACAAAGCAGACAAAATTTCTTATGCATGGAGTTTATATTTTTGTGGTATAAGACATGTAAATAAGAGTATTAGAGTTATATCAGAGGAGCAGAACTACTAGGATATAGATATAGATATATCTAGTGTAAGGTAAATCACAGCTGTCAAGTGGAGGAAGCAAGGTGAACTGGCAACTGCAAGAATGAACTGAAATCCATGAGAATGGAGTGGAATCTGCATTGATTTCTCCCTGGTTCCAAGGGTTCAACTTTGATGATGGAGTTGATCTGCAGGAGGAGTTGGTCTTTTGTTACAGACCCGAGTTGCTGACATTGAAATAGAGGATCCTGCAAGGGTTAAAGAAGATACAGACCTGGCTTCTGCCCCAACCTACAAAATGAGCTAGCAGATAAGTGACAACTTACATAATTAGCAATATTGCCTTATGCCCTATACTGACCTTCCAAGTGTGAAATTATATGATGGCTGTTTCACCTCCATCTACTATGCAAAATGTCTCTGTGGCCCATGCTAACCTGGAACTTTTCAGGCAAAGAAATGGAAATGTAATACTGGCTTAGCTAAGTTGACAAAATAGAACCACAATAAGTAACTTATATGAAAATTTAAAGTCAATGAGTGCTATGGAGAAAAATGAAGGGGATGAGAAATGTTTGCGGTGAGGATAGAAATAATTAAAAAAAAAAAAGTGTTCAGGGTAGATCTCCTTGAGAAGGTGACACTAGGTCAAAGACTTGAAGGTGAGGGAATGAAACATGCTAATATCTGGAAGAAGAATATTCTAAGTATCAGATGCTCCCTAAGTGGCACCATACCTGGTGTGGTAGACAGCCTTTTATAAGATTCCCAATGATCCCCACCTCATGTTATTCCCTGCTTTATGTAATTTCCTTCCTTTGCATGGCAAAGTGATATGTCACTTCTGAGATTAGGTTATAAAAGACTGACCTGTTTCTTGCTCCCATTCCTTCTCTTGTCTTTTTGGATTGCTTGCTCTGATGAAGTAAGCTGGTATATTGGAGAGGCCTATGTGGCAAGGAACAGAGAGTGGTCTCTGGCCAACATCCAGTAAGGAACTGAGGCTATAAGACCAATAGCCCCTGAGGAACTGAATCCTGTCAACAACCACATAAGTGAGATTGGAAGTGGATCTTTAACCAGTTGAGCCTTAAGATGACCACAGTCCTAGATGCTGATTGTAGTCTGTGAGACACTGAAGTAGAGAATCCAGCTAAACCAGACAATATTGTTTTAAATCAGTACATTTAGGAATAGTTTGTTATTTAGCAACTGATAACTCATATACATGGCATGTTTAAGGAACAAAATGAGACCAGTTTGGGGTGGGATAAGCAAGTAGCAAGTAAAGTTAAAGAGACAATAGGATTTCTAGATCTTTATGAGTCATTAAATGATTTTTAGTTTTTGTCTTTTTGTTTGTTTTGAGTGAACTTGGTAGCTGTTGGAGAGTACTGAGTAGAGGAGTGACATTATCTGACAGGATTTATACGTTTTTTTTCTCAAAGTTCTATTGAGAAGACATACAGGGGATAGGGTTTGAGCAGGGAAACCAGTTAGGCTAGTGTAATAATGCAGATGAGAGAATGGTGATGAGAGCAGGGATCCCAGTAGAGGAAATAAATGATTAAATTCTGGATATATTTTTATGATAGAGCTGACAGAATCTGATAATTGAATATAGGTTGTAAGAGAAATGGATACAGAATATGAAAAAAAATAGCTCAAAGGGTTTTTGATTATTTGTTGTGATGGGGATGACTGCAGGAGTAGGTTTTGGGGAAGGAGTACTTAGGAGCACAGTTTTGTACATGTAAAGTTTGAGATATGTTTTAGACATCTAAGTAGAATTTTTGAGTAGAGAGTTAAATATATGAGTATGGAGTTCTGGGGAGAGATCTGGTCTGGGAGCTCTCAAAGTGTAGAAGCCACTTAAAGCCACGAGATTGAATGCTAATAACAAAGAACAAAGGATAGATAGAAAAAGGGATCAAAGACTGAGCTCTTGTGCATTCTCAACATCTATCTACCAGGAAATGTAGCAGGAACCAGTAAAGGAGACTGAGAAGTGAGGAACAGAGGAAAGCCATTGGAGAGTGGTATCCTGAATGTCAAGAAGAAAGTTTTTCAAATAAAAGGTTGTTCATGGTACAAGTAAGATGGAAGTTGAGAAATGACAGTTGGATATAGCAATATGGAGGTCATTTGAGACCTTGTTGAGGACAGCTTCACAGAGAATGGGAGAATTGAAGACCATAAATTTGTGGAGTTATGCTAGAAAGGAGAAGACAAATGGGGCAGTATCTGGAGAAGAATGTGGGACAAAGAGTGGATTATTTTTCTTCAGGAGATATCACAATCCCAGATTTCAAGGTGTCCTACAAAGCTATAGTAATCAAAATAGTATGGTACTGGCATTAAAATAGACACATAGATCAATAGAAAAACAGTCCAGAAATAATCCCACACTTATATGGTCAATTAATCTTAGACAAAGGAAGCAAGATATACAATGGGAGAAAGACACTCTCTTCAACAGACAGTGCTGGGAATAGTGGGCCACTTTCTTACACTATACACAAAAATAAATTCAAAATGGATTAAAGACCTAAATGTGAGACCTGAAACCATAAAACTCTTAGAAGAAAACACGGACAGTAATTTCTTTGATATTGGCCATAGAAACATTTTTCTAA